AATAGTCATGAAGATCTAAGGTCCTGTCTTTACAGATACTGAAATGATGACAGCAGTAAGATTTTTGAAATTCCGTTTTTTTCACAATTGATACTGCTTGCTTTTTGGCACTTAAAGTGTAACAGCGTGTTTTGTATTTAGTCACTCCACTGGCAGACTATCACTCAGAACGAAGCCAACACTAATAGTGGAGGAAAGGTGGATTGCTCAGTGGCTAGATGATACCATTTAGGGGAGAGCCTCAAATGGGTGCCCAGTTTTTATGTAGTGACCAAGGAAAAGGCTGATGAGCTTGCTCTCTTGAATGGTATAGCAATCTTACCAGCTGGAAACAAACATGGGATCACTGCTTTTTCTTCACTCAGAAGGGTAATAGGTAAATACAAAAGTCTGTGCTCTCCTAAAAGCTGTGACTACAGTTACACAGACATATATCAGTCACGAAGTGGCCAGACGTCTTCATTTGCTCTCGATCATTTATCCATACATACTACTGCCAATGTTACAATCACCTAGCAGAGAATGTCTATAGAACATCATGAAAACATTTTTCGTCTACAATTTTTTTTGAAGTTATTTTTTGCAAATCTTAGTATTTGGGTCAAATCTGCCATGACAGCAATCTTTAAAATTTATTCAGTCTTTTTCACGTCCTTACAGTACCTTGGGGGTCTTTCTCCAAATTTTTCTCCTTTCAATTATCTATAGCTTCAAGTATCTTACTAAATGAAACACTGCCGGAGAACTTCCCTGGACACAGGAATCTGTCGATTTATTTGAACTTGTGCAATAGTTGTCAATACACTTCTGGATATGCCAAATAACACCACGCTCCTTCCGCTCCCAGTAATTCCGAGATACGGTGGGGAAGTTAGCACAGGCAAGAAACAACTCCTGAGACACAGTGTCTATGTGCTTTGTTTTGGAGAGTACACCATGCAGAGAAGTTGTTGCAGGCAAGCTGGCCTCAGTGCTGGTTACCTGTTTATTAACCAACCTTTGCAGATACAGATCACAATGAAGCCTATTAAATAGGATCTTCCCAACGGCCTGTGCACCACAGGTGCAGCTTGTGCTTTTCCTGCCCGAGAATGTGCAAAATGTACATATGTATTTTTTTAACCTTTTCACATACCTTCTTCGGTAAATCTGCTTTTCCACTGAAGTTCAAAATTTTAAGTTCTTTCTGTATTCGTTAGCCCATCAACAGTAGATGTGAACATTTCTGTTCTCCTTCAGTTCATTAAATTATCATAATATGTAGCCATATATATCCGTATTTCATTCTGACACATCAGAATGAAAAACATGCATTGTCACTAAGGATTTACTATTATTTACATTTCATATCGGTTCTTTTCCTAAAAGAAGTACCTTTCAAATGAAACAAACAAATCACAGGAATACAAATTCACTGTCTACTAACTCAACAGCAGCAGGACTAAGGTCAAACACGATGTCTTAAAAATGAAAGCGAAATCCTTTTAGTACCTTAATGTACTGCTATCACTGTTAGCCTGTAAAAATAGGGTCCTTTTATCAAACTGTGAAATAAACTTTGCCCTCTTTGAGCTACTGATCACACACAACCTTTATGCAATTAAAGGTCCATTAACACTCAAGTGGGGATGTTTAAATAGATCTTAGTGATTTTATACACTTTTCACCAAATTGGAAAAGAATGTGTACTTTAATTGCCTAGATTGCTTTGGAAATCTTGACAGGTGGTTACTGGAGAGGGTTGAAATACATATAAAGAACCACATATAAATGCTTAATAAAGGTGCTGTTTAAGAAGATTACTTACTGGATTTTCTCCAGTAAGCTCATAGCCGTACTATTTTAGTATTTGATATTCATTATTAAATTTGTCCTTACAATTAGTTTTGTGAGACAAGCTTCTAATACTTCACACACAATAAATTGAAACAGAAATGATGAATGATTTGCACAAAGACCAACAGTTACAACAGAACCCAAGGCACTTGATTCTAGTTTTAAGTCCTCTTCACAAATACAAATATTAACCACAAGCCAGCCTTTCTCTTTGAAGCAATACACACCCCATTTACAGAGCCATTATCATCCTCACTTCGTGAAAAAGATAAAGAGCACCAACAAGTATTTTGTTTAAAACAGTTAGGTGAGATATCTATACATTAATTTTTTTTTTTAAATATATGTCCCTTATATGTGAAGAATTGAAGCATCTTTGATGAAGTACTTGATAAAATTATGTCAAACTGTTCTAAACACCTTCCAGGCAATCTTAAATGACTAATAGTTGAAACAGATTTGAGCAAAATATGTCTCCTCTCCCTTCTCCCAAGCTACCCACTCATTCAGAACACGGCTAAATGAGCTCTTAGGCTGCAAATCCTTAAGATGCAGTGAGCTGACTGTATGACTCACACTCACCGCCAGAAACAGAGAAGAGTCCCTGCTTCCAACTGCATGCCTCTGGTGCTTACTTTCTGCCAGCTCTGTATTTCTCTGATCCTTCTGTGAGAAGATTGAACTCTCTAAAACATAACAGAAATCCAGCAGAAAGATGGACAAATTTCTCTCGTTAAGTCAACAAATGGCAAAGCCCAAGAAGTACCGGAACTTGGAGTCCAAAGGCAGCAGGATTACCCAGTCCAAGCTGAGGAAGCAAGTCTTCCTCCTTCTGGCAATGAGGAAATCAGCTTGTCTACAGTCCAAGCAGATTCTGTACATCTTTAATTTCTGTTCTGAGGTATCAGCTGCTTCAGTTTACCATCTGCTTTATGTAATCTCAAGTAGCCTCACTAAAAGGCAGCTATACTTTTTTTTTGGAAAAGAGAGATGTCAGACCTAACACAGAAGAACTACTAAAAATCTGTAAGGACAAGAAATTAAAACTGAACTATGGCAAACATTTACTTTCTGCAGAAAGACAACCTTGTGTTATATCAGTAACTGCAACAGGAAAGCTATCAAATAAGCTTTGCCTAGTGGCATTTATGGTAGCCCAAGATCATGTTACAGCTTTAAGTGACCAGGGCACTCTGGCTAGAACTTCTTTTCTCACTTGACACACAAAGATTCCAGCTCTAAATTAAAAACACTTCTACAAATCACTTTACCAAAAAGGCGTCTGAAAAGGAGAGGAATAATGTGTATGATTGAGGGAGTAACAGTAGGTAAAAAGATTTTTGGGATTAAGATTGTTCAGATTAACACGTTTCTGGGGCTGGGGCAGAGTCTTCTGTTGAGGAAGGCAGTAGACTGGTACACTGCATCTGATTCTAATGCACAAAGAAACTACCTGGGCTTTGATGTATCAGTTCTAAGAATAAGAGAATGCTGAATATTCCATATGCTCTTTACAAAGTTTTATTAGGATCCTTGCAATTCCTGGCAATTATTTTGCTCTGAACGCTTGAGTTTCATTTTTTCATGTCTGAATTCTCCATTCTCCCTTAAGGACGGATCAAGACTGTGAACAGACACAATGAAGGCAGGCAGAAATATTGCTGTTCTTACCTAACAAGGAAAAATGCATCACGACGATTAACTACCGAACAAATTGTGATTAAAACAAGTTAATACAATTTAACTGCCATTCCAATTACTGTTAAACAAAAGTAACTTGTGGCTTGTTCTTTCCAGGACAGCACAGTAACAAAGCTAACTGCTCCATCTTCAAAGACCTGCTCCCTGTTTTTCCTATGAATTTTTTAGAAAGAGGAGGCTTTTTTTGGGTTGGTGTTTCTTTTTTTTAAATAAAGGCAACATGACACTCATTTCAGTATATCCTGCCAGCAAGAATATCCAAACATCCTCTTGTCTCTATTGGATATATTTTTACTTAATATACAAAACAGAAAGACCATTCAAGCCGAACAAAAAGACGACCAAAAATGTGCAGTTTACTTTGCAAAGACTGAAATTTTTCATTGTCCAAAACACACTTGTCTTCTCAAACATCTTAAAAGTTGACTTAATCCTATCAACGAGTACTTACTGTTTTGCAATTTTTATGTTTAACAGCATACTTCTAAGTATGTATTCTAAGACAATTTATAGCTCTCCTAAGTGTTTGGCAGAACAAATACATGCCTTAGAACTCATTTTGCTTCAGTTATACTTTAGGTGAATGTTAAATACCATTTTTGGAATCAGACTACATTACCCATACTGCATGGATACAGTTACCTAAGAAGTTAGCAATTCTAAAAATAGAAAACAACAGCATTTATGCTTAAAAAAAACCCCAGATTTATGGACAGTTGCTAATGGGTTGCCGTCATTTCAATTTGCAAATGTTCATCTAGTGAAAAACAATCTTCAATTTGCAAATGTTCTAGTGAAAAACAATCATTTTTTTCCACTCTTCTCTGAAGTAACTGGGGTAGCTTGAAAAAGACACTGCAGTACAGACAACAGGCATGCTCAAAGAACAAAGTTTTGTCAGTGACTTAGCATACCTAGAGACAGCCATACACTTTGGAACATAATTTAAAAGATGAATGGGATTTACCTTCCTACTATACTTTCGTTTTTTTCTTTCATTTTAGAAATTTTGTTCTGTATTTGGCCTCAAATCATACACTAAGATGAATGCACAGCAAACAAAAACCAGTAAGAACCAAAAGTGTTGCAGTGTTACATGTGATTTAGAAAGGAAAGATCCAAGATAAACATTCATCATGTTATACAGATACCTTGGATACATAACTAACTTGACAGAGCATAAAAGATTTTCTGATGCAGGATGCTTTGCTCCCCCTCCACCCCAAACTTTTAACAGAAAGTACATCAGAATAAAACCAGGCAATAAAAAGTGGAAAGTCCTTGAACTAAAGTTTACAGGCAGCAAACAATGTAAAATGATTTTATATGTAACACATGTGACAAGCTGATACAGCAAATTACTTAGTAAACCCATGACTCGATTTTGAAAGGATTTATTTCATAACTCAAAAGCAAGTATAAAACATTAAAGCCGTGTTAAGACTGAACTCCATGTCTATTATCTTTGAAATTTTTTAATACATTGTCTTACGATTAAGACATTCATTACTGTTTAGTACATAATTTATAATAATTCTCTACAGAACAATATAGTTAATTCAGTATCATCAATAACTTTATACAGATACAGTATTGAAGCCATATCTTCTTTTGCTTACTGTCAAGTACAAACCAGCTTATTTAGACTAAAAAAAGCTGCACACCACAGTTGTAGCATACCGTATTTTGTGCCTGATTAAAGTTTACAGTAGTGGCTTTTTTATCTCTCAAGACAAATAAACATGTTACCACAAAACAAACAGTTGTGCAAACTCAGGCTTAGGAGGAAGACTTAACTACCTCCTTTTTCCAGAACTACTTTTCCCTGCTTTACTGCTGCTGCTAGCAGACTTGCTGGAAGATTTTGAAGAGAAGAGTCTTGTCATGAACTCAGAGACATCCGGCAGCTCATGGTTGGAATTCAGCATGTTCATTGACTGCTCCATTTCCTGCATGCAAAGATTAGAAAACCTTAATAGCTCGTAACAATTCTGGCTGTTTCTAAGGCATCAATTCAAAGATCATTATCAGGAAGACGTAAAATTTTCCCAAACAGTGTTCTACTATATGTAGTCCTCCAGAGTACATATCGCTACATATTTTTATGCAACCACAGCCAAATGCCCAGCTACACACAGAAACATAAAACTCCCAAACTAAAAGCACTGGTGCATGGAAAAAGGTAACCATGTCTTAAGCAGTCTTACAGGACAACCCCCTGATTTTAAAAAAAAAAAAAAAGAAATCTTAAAGAAAAAAATGCCATTACTTATTTTCAGTATTACTCTTCTCCATTTTAAAATTTAAGCTTTTGTTTAGATTTTCATATGTGTTCTCACTAGATTTCACATACTTTTGTGTTTTCAAATTAGTATTATTTATGCTAAATCTAACAAATTTTTGCAGCTGTTTGAAGGGGTTAGATATTTTCATTGCTCTACTTTGCAACATCAAGCTATCGGTGTACAGCAGCTAAGTTTTCTTTGCTTCATGAAAGGAAGGATTTTAATATGAGACCATGTATCCAGCTAAGCTTAATGTAACTTTAGAGTTTAGCATAATGACTCTATGAGATGAATTAGTACAGATTAAAATAAACAAACAAACCCTGAAGTACTTTTAATGCATACAACAGCTGTACTGTATATCCACAATGTGATAATGCTTACAGTAATTGCCAGTTTAATGTGGGATTGTCACCTTGCTCCTCTAGTTAGTATTCAGAATGATACAGCTTTAATTGTTTTCAAGGTACAAACAAAGCAAAAGCTGTTATGGTAGCCTTTGTTACTATTGCATCTATACTACAGCTGTACTTAACGCCTCTACAACAAGCACAGTTACTAAACCATTAACTTTATATAGAAACTAGTACTGTGCTGATTCCATCAATAAAAACCACACTAACCTGAAAAAATGTAATAGAAGCTTCATGCCCTCCACAAGCAAACTGAAGTTGGATATACGCTTAAGAATTTAACACATGGTCATCTAGAGAATGCCATTACAATTGAATTCTTAAAAACTACCTTCCCCTATTCTTTAAAGGATTCTTTCAACTTAAGGTTTCTCCTGAACAAATTGTATCAGTGAGCTAGTAAGAACTAACTCATGAGAAGTTCTGATAGTTTACCATCAGAATAGCCTGTCTGTAAGCAGTGTCAGATCAGTGAAAAAAGAAGTAATTTTTTTAAAATTCAGCTTTTAAAGTTCAGCTTGGTTTGAAGAATAGGCCACAGATATCTAGCATATCTTCGTATTCTGTTTTTAATCAAAATTAAAGCCAAAAGAGCATTACATAGCTCTGATATGCTTTTTATAGCTAGTACTTAAAACAACAACAAAAGACTCAGACACCTATAAAGTACTACTGAAGACAGTGGTCATTTAGAGGAAAAGGAGTTTAAATTAACCAAACCCTCAAAAAGCAGCCACCCAAGACAGACAAGGAATACTTCTAAAAATAAGAAAAGATTTAGCAAACACCTTGAATCTCCATTTTGTCCTAGCCTTCCGCTATTCGGCATTTTGCATGATGAAAGGACAATAAATCAGATAATTTAATGACTACATTAAGACTCCATATCACATACACTATTGTGACATTAACAATCTCATAAAAACTACGTGGTTTACATGGATGGATAAGAGAACCCCACATCACACTCTTCTCAACACACCTGACACTTACTAAATGATGAACAAAACGAAGTGCCAGATTTAAACATAGTGCAGAAATACACTGGAAATTTACAGAAAAAATAGCCTTTGAGAAATTGTATTTATCACTCTAAAGAAACTCCAGAAAACAGCATTCATACCGTAATACTTTCAAAGCTGTGCCAAACGATTTAATTCTGTGTCGTGCTGTTTAACTGCAAATTCACAAGTCGGAAATATCAGAATCAGTTGTTAGAACAGCAAGACCGTATTAAGTGGATAAATGATGCCCATTTTAGAAGTCCACTTGTGTTTTTGTTACTTTTCAGTACCTTAAAATCTCATGATCTCTGCTCTCTATGTCTGCATCAATTGAACGTACTTACCCGTCTCATATCAGGATCACTGGTGTTGACAACTTTAGGCAAAAGCACAAATATCAGTAATGGAAGAACCATCATCATCACCTACACAGAAAACAGCAAGTATTTCTTCAGTTTATTTGTTGCTCCAGACATTTTTAGACACACTGACATAAAGCTTTTTAACAGCCAAATTCTAGAACTACTGCATTCTGAGTCAGTAACGCAGTAACAGTAATCCACTTGCCAGGAAAGGAACCTGATAAAGAAGTATTATGCTTTAAAGAACAGATTTCAAAGTTGGACCATTAAAGTAAATGCTTGTTATCTCTTTCAACTGTTATAATTACAATCTTGCAACATGTTGATCTCCAGGCTACAGAACAACATCACGTTGTCAAAGGAATCAGACTATGCGCTGTTTTCAGAGGACATATGTTAACAGAGCGTGTACGTAGGGGAGAAGAGGTCATAGAAAAACTTTCTATTTGTAAGAAAGTAAAAACCAAAGAAATAAAACAATCCTCTCAGAAGAGCAAAGTGTGCACATCTTTTCTCAATTATTTTATTCTCGGTATTCTGAAGAACAGCTTTATTTGGATCCTTAGCACACTTTTAGCCTTTGTGTGTTGCTCGTACATACCATAGGGTTCATGAGGAAATCTGTCCATCCCCAAGATTCTCTCTTTATGAAGTATGAAGGAGGTCCAGAAGATTTCATCTGGAGTGGGTATGGCAGCCTGACAACTTCAGAGGTTTTGATGTAATTCACGTATCTTGCTCTAATGAGCAAAATTTAAATAATGAAAAATATAAATACAAGCTTTAACAAAAAATAAAGATTATCTAATAATATTCCAAACAATTTTTTAATAATACATTACAAACAAAACTATCTGCTAGGCAGTGTCAGCTAGGCTTCACTTTTCAGAAGCTAACTTCTCCCAGCAGCATGCTTTATGAAACCAAATGATACTTTGCCTTTTTTCCATGCTAGCTACTAAGCAAGCTGAAAAACTTCATATGGAAAACAGACCTGCAGATCAGAAACATCAGAACTATTCCTTCAAAGATGACTTCTGCAAAACGTGTCACCTCGGTAACAAGCAAGAAAAGCTACAATGTGTAAAGAGAAGGTAGGGCTTTGAACAGTGTAGTGCAGCTTGAACAGTTTGCTCAGGGCAACAATTACTTATATATGAAGTTAACACTACCTTTTCCCTAAGTGCATGACTTTGTGTTTATCAATACTGAATCGCAGTCTTCAAAGTCCTTCTATAGTTCTTCACTAGTATTCTTCACCTGGGCCTAGTATTTAGATACTTCATCACTCTTCACTCATTTTTCATGATTTATGAATATTTACCCGCCTTGTGCAACTCCGGGGATGACTTCTGCCCATTGCAAGAGAAATGATTTATTCCTTCTGAATGTTTCACCAAATATTCATCCATAGAATGCCTTTCCCTCCTACGTTATGACTATGCATTTTCTTCAAAACTTTTTGATATTTTCAAGTAGATCTTATCTAACATACCCGTTATCCACACGCTGTTTCCTAAGAATTCCAGTATTATTTTTAAGGCAGAATTTCCCTCAGAAAAGACCAGTTTACATCTTCCTGGTGTATCACATTTTTTTCATGCCTAGATTTTTTTCATGTCTAGATTTTATTTCAGGACAGCTGCATAAGAAAATAACAAAAGCAAACTAATAGAAGGACTCTTTTTATCTATCTCCTCTTATTTAAGGCCATTAATATGAAAGTAATAAAGAAATCAGACTTTGTCTTTTAGGAAATGTGCTCCTAGAACTGATGTTAAAAGAAGCTGAAACGTAGGGTCTGAAACGGAACATGAGATCTACAGTACTGTTTAGATTGCTTCCTATACTGTGCTGCCAGGCATACTTAATAGATTAATACAGAAGCAAATCAGGAATGGCTCACCTCATTTTGCCTTTTGAAGTTATGTCAACTCGCACGGGCTCAAATTTATGAGCAGGTGATATAACTTCCACTACATAAGATCCTGAAGGAACATCATGAACCACAAAACTTCCATCTGTCCTGAAAAAACAGTAAATTCCACTACATTTCAATATGCTCCAGTACACAAGACAGGGTGCTTTATTTTTTTTAACAAAGAAACTGCAATAGTATCATTTTCTATTATAAATCTTACCATAACAACAATGACCAAAATGAAAAATTAAATCGCTCTGCACTCATAAGTATCAAGCCCCTTAAGGTCACCAATTTTTGCCACAACAGCACCAGAAATTACCAGTTATGTTAAAGATTTTCTCATGCCATCAAGCTATCGTGTTGCTGGAGGAATAATTTAACAGCCTAAACAAAATTTGACATGGTTAGATTTGATGTATTCAAATAATGGCAGAATCGACTTACACCTTCCTTCCTCCTTCCAAAATAGACACAATGAAGTTTACTTTGCTTCAATACTTCTGCTGGAAGCAAAAAAACCAAAAATTTGTGTCCTGCGTAGTGTGGGTAGATATTTGAGATGACTTGCAACACACAAAAATTGCAGTTTGTGCCTTCACTGTAAAACAAAGGTTTTTAATTGCTCCCCTTAGGACTAGCCCACGCTGGAAAGCTCTGAACATGTACACAGAAGGGATTTTTAGACAGACTACTTTTAAATACAGTGAAATATTAGTACAAGTATACTTGAAAGCTTCAGCACCAGTTGGCATTAAAGTACAGAAGCTTGTAGTTTTCCTATGTGCCTCCAGAAGTTTCCAGGCAGAGAAACTTAGTGTTCTCTATCCTTCTAAAAATTACTATGAATGATATCTCTCCTAAAAATAAGGCTCAAAGTTAACACAAAAAAAAGTTGTTCAAAAGGGGAAAAAAAGTAGCAAAACCTGAAACATTAGAAACTTGCATCAGGAAAACAAATAAACGAACCCTCTTAGAAGTGAGCCCTCAAAAAAAAATTTTGTTCTTACATCCTTTACACAAGTTCTCTCTTTCAAAGACGTACACCACTTAAGGATCTTCCCGCCACGAAGAGAGAAGCGTATAAACAGTACTGTCTAGCTGGGTTTCATTAATACTTTATGTGATGATTTGAAACCCTACCATTGTTTACATCATCTTCTATTGCAACTGCTAGGAGGATGTTTCCTTTTCTTTTTTCATTATTTACAGTATTATTTTGACAAATTTCAATTATAGCCTTTTCTAAAGATTTATTTCTATGACAAAGCAAATTCTCATTTCATATACTGGTAACCAATACTGCCTTTTTAAAGGAAAAAAAGTTTCATTTTTATTACAGTGGGGAAACTAATCAGATCTATAAAAACGTTTGTACTAGAGAACGACTCTTGAAATACTCAAAGAGCAACTCTGCTATGTCAAATAACTATTTTCCCCTTTTAGATAACTGGAATATCATCCATGTAATATATAATCAAAACCTGCCTGAGAGATGGTGACAAATATATCTTCTGATATACCAAATACATTTAAATTTATCACTGAAAGTGAGGATCTTTCTCCCGAGTCTGAAGTACCACTGTTAAGAAAACTGTTCTTTGTCTCCTAACACAGTCCATACTAGAAGTATGCTGCTATCCAGTACTGTGCTCATTACAAGCAACAAAAAAAATCCCAACTGACATTAAATCATTTTTGCTAAAATGTACCATGCTTATGGCAGCGCAACATCTACAAATAACTTTAGCAAGCTGAATAACTTATACAATATTAATTGCCTGGCTTTAAGTTATACCAATATAATTTGATATGTCTATAAATAGACATACCAAATGAATGTAACCAATAGAGCTTGATCTCTAGGTTACACTGACATAAATATGGTATGCACTCAGCTAAGACTATTTCCTCGTATTTCAGACAATTCAACTTCCAATCCAGCATTTGGAAACTTACCAACTCTGTGGTATTTATCAAATCAGCTCCTAAATATCACGTCAGGCTCCCACAACTGGGTTGTACTGGCTTATCAAGTGCTACACTGACAAGATTCTGCAAGTTTTGCAGAGTAAAATCTGTTGTGTTAACCTATCGACAGTTCCCAGAGTCAAAATTCAGTTCAACTTTTACTGCAGAGGGAATAATCAAAAACGATTGGTATTTATGATGGTGTACCTTAACTCCATATAAACTTTCTCACTTCAATATGTAATTTTAAAAAAATGTATTATACTGTATTAAAAATAATAAAAAAGATTTTAGAATTAGCTTCTGCTCTTGAAACTATGAGATTAATTCCATACTCAATTCTGAGGACATTTTCTGTTTCTTAATATCTCTAGATCCTTTGCTGATCTGAATATAGCCACTAACACCCAAGACCAAATAAGCTAATATGATTCTTTACAGCTTCCAAACACATTTGCATGATCTTGTGTAAAGGAATAAAGCCATACCCCTTGAAATCGTGTTCACTGGTACAGTGAAACAGTTTTTCAGAGGTACTGTAACACATAATTACAACTGTAACCTTCTGCCACAAGCACTTCTCCAGAACGTGTAAGTTCTTAGCTAAGGACAGGGTCTTACAAACGAAGTGACAGAATCTGCACCCACAAAAGCTGAGAACAAACGCTGTACTCCAGAATTTAAAGCAAACTTTTTTTTTTTT